CAGAAAGAGTGAGGCTTTTAAAAGAAGAGAAGATATTTGAAAGCCTCTTTAGTGCATCTAATATATCTTCAGACTTCAGAGGGCTAGAAACCATCCTAAGCCCCTGCCCCCATCTCTGGTTTTGTTCAGGACCTGCCTCCTTAGACAGCCAATATTACTTTTCTTGGGGGTTCTCCCTTATCGCTGGTGTTTTCCTCTCCAGAAAGGTCTTGAATTTTACTTGCTGGTTTGTGTCATTTGATTTATAGGCTCAAGGGGTCCTTCGCAAAACCTGGACTACTTCTTGTACTTAATTGCTACAATAAACTTAAAACTTGGTGCTTTAGGATAAGCAATCTGGGAGGAAATTGTTTGATGTATGGAAGCAGACAGTAGGTCCTTCTTGTGAATGTCACCGAAGGGACACAGAGGAGAAGTGGGTTTATAAATAACTATAAAATTCAGAAACTACACGAGCTCGGTGAGAGCAGAGCTCGATTAAGCAGGAACAGCTTGCAGCACAGTACTCAACATCTGCAAAAGTCCTTGCAGCCAGTATAATTCCCAACAGCCTGGATTGCTGGGCCCGGGCTCTCCGACACCGGCTTTAACTCCACAGGGGCCAGGAGGCTGCGATTTGCAGCCACAGCCGAGCGCAGAAAGGGGTGCCCAGAGCCTGCGTCCTAAAATGCAAACCAACAGGTGAAAGAAAAGGTGATAAACAAGTCGCAAGTTTTATTCATATTGCAAGGAAGGTGTTTTTTCCTTTCCGTTTCAAAATTACTTTATCAAAAGTAGCTCTTTACGGTTTAAAAGCTGCTTTTTCCAGCGCTCCGTGGCTGCAGCAGGGGCTGAGCACAGAGGCTGCTGAGCCGGCATGGATGATGCCGTGGCCGCCTGCCGTGGCTCTGGTGCCGCCGAGTGACATGGCGAGAACGGCGAAAGCGCGAGACACATTCAGTGGGCAAAGGCCAAGGAACGAGCCATCGCTTGCGGCACGGCGCAGTGCGGCTCCAGCCATGACGTGCTCGTAGCACGGCCCCGGGAGGAGGCGGGGGACGCATCCCCCGCGCCCGGGACCCAAAACGCGTCCAGGGGCCGGAGAGCCGCCGCGGTGCTGGCGATTTTAAAATCGTGCCTTCAGCCGCTGTCCCTCTTATTTAGCTCTCAGAGCCATGGTTTAAAAGAGTCACTGCATAGTTTGTGTATTCTGGGAGACGGGCACACGAAACCAAGAAGAAAGAACACGTAAATATTATGGAGCCATCTGTTTCCAATAGTGTGTGTTTACATATTAATGTGCAATACAAATTTGTAAACATGAGCATTTGAAACTTTTGTAGGAACCGATACCGGCCTTTTCCCTTTCTGCAGCTTTATTGGAACCGCATGTCCCCCGGCCCCAGCCACACATGTACGGCGCTTTAATACTGGCTGCATTTCAAATCTGCTGGGTGCTTATTTGTTCTGGTCTGTCTTGCTACCCACTTCTCATTTGTTTTGCATAATTGTGATACAAATTATCATCTAATTACAGACCAAACCTCAGAACATCAAACGTAAACCAAGGCACTTCGATCAGAAAAAGCTCCCTCTACACGTTCGGCTTCTCCAATAGCTGCATTAAATTTGGGTGAAACTGGGTAGTAAACTGCACTGTGATTTCAGAACATTATCGCTGGGTTTTTTTGTCTCCTTGGTTTTGAAATCAGCCTGCCGGTGTCCGAGCACCGGGCCCGTCCCACGTCCCAGTGTCGAGGACGGCCGTGGTACCCGTGGTACGGCCGGTTTTATTTGCCGGGTGCTATAAAAGGGATCAGATATTCCCAAATAACTTCAAACTCCTCTTGAGAAAGGTCAAATGACTAACAGCTAAGATTGTTCGGCAAGTTTAATCTTGAAAAAAAGACGTTGATTATTTTCTCCTTGGTCCCAGTCAAAAATAGCACCATAATACTGGCTTTATGTCTGTATTCACCCACTAAGTCTGAAGAACTGTGAAGTTTTGCCACCGCCGCAAGTTTCCAACTAATGTTAACGGGAGGAAGCACACAGCGGCAGGTAACACATTTGTGTTTACAGGTGCATGGTCCCGCTTGAAATATTGCCCTCAAGTCCCCTAGTTTCTCATTTAATAATTAATGATTTATTATACTGACTTACTCTCTCGAGTCCTGCCACTTGCCTCTCCCCCGCAGCCGTTCTACAAAGCCCTCCTAGAAAGCAGCGTGCAGGTTGCCCCCTGCTTTGGGCACAGTTGTTCTCCTAGAAGCAGAACCATTTAGGCTCTAGCGTGAGCGATTCGGCTGAATTACCATTGCGGGCATGGAAAATACTCCCATGCCGGGACAGTCGGGGAGCCTTGGCCGGGTCTGAGGTGACCCCGGGGCGTCAGGATAGAGAGCTATGACTGCCTGAAAATACTGATTTGTTTCGTGAAGAACCACCAGTATCTTTTTTTATTTGTTACAGTGATATTTGAAAGGAGAAATCAGGAGATAAAGGCAAAGGAAACAGAAAATAACCTCAGATCGCCCCGATCTGAGAGCGTCCCTCGTGCCGTGCCGACCTCTCATGCGGAGCTGGTTGGTGTTTGCACGCCCGCCTCACGCACGCTGACGAGCACTGCGCCCTCCCCGGCGCTCGGTGCCAGCACCCAAGGGCCACGGGTGCCCGCGCCGCCGCGTCCCTTGCAGGGGCCAGGCTCCGGCCGTGTTTTCCCCGTGGCTGTGATCGGGGAGGGGGGCAAAAACCGGGCTCCTACAGTGCCAGGCTCATCGAAACCCAACCCAAACCCACTGGAACTAGCTGAGCGATGGCTGCTGGAGCGTGGCACCCTACGCTGCTTTGTGGTTTCGTACCGAAAGGCACAGAATAAAAAAGCAGCTCTGGGAAGCCCCGTGCCCAGTTGCAAACCCTCCGAGGTAGGTCCCGACAAAGAGAGCATTTGCTCAGCTGTAGTAGAATTTATCTGATCCAAATTTAAATATCTATCGCTGTAAAATTGTCTGTACTGAAAATATCTATTCTACTCATTAGCAGTCACGTTTTTAACTAGACAGACACTGATCTGTTGGAGCACCAGCTCACGGCCAGCAACTCTGGAATATCTTATGCAACCGCAAATATTTGGAAAATTGGAAGTTACCCATTGCATCCACCCACGAATCCGTGCCTTCCAGCTCCCCAAAAGTATAACCACATGTGGGGGCCGGTACCAGGGCACGCAGCCCACGGGATTCGGCCCGGGGAGCGGAGACCTGCAGCGCTTTGCAGAGCCCCTCCAGTGCCTGCAGCCACCACCAACGATGAGGGGTGGCTTGGAAATAAGGACTCCCCGATGAAAAAAAGTTTCTTTTTTTTTTTTTTAATAAAAATAGTGAGATAAACTGCTAAGAAACAGCACGAGAAAGCAGGTTTGTTCATTTTTACAGTTGTACAGACTGTTTCGCAAAGCAAGCGCAGCCCACTGTTTCATACTGGTATCGCTGGGGGCTCTGTGAACACTCAAAGCAGATATAAATTAAGGAAACCAATGCTGGTTGATTTTTAGCAAAGTCTCATGAAAGTAAAAGTGTGAGTTTTTGTTATTTTAACAGCTTTTGATATTGCTCGTTCTGTTCTTAATTTACTGTCTGTTACGGATGAAAATAAAACCAAAACTCTGATACCAATTTTAATTCTTAAACCTGCGCTTAATCCCTATATAGTGCTGTGTTATGTTTGTAAATACAGAATTCTCTTATCTTAATCCCAAAATGCTGCCGGTCCCAGTCAAGCATTATTTTCAAATCTCTGTCATATATCAAGTAATAAAATTGGCTTCAGGTAGGGACTGAGCATTGATCAAATAAAGAATAAAATCTGTGCCCCAATTTATTGCGAGTTATATTGTGCCCTTGGGAGCTAGAGATTATTTACAGGAGTAACAAGAATATCCACAGGTTATAATAAAACAAACAGGGCTTTTGGAAGGAATTGAAAATCTGATGTGTCGGGGCCCGTAGAGTTGTAACTCCGGAAAGGCTCTGCGTTCTCCACGGGACGGAGCCAGGAGCATCCCTGCCCCTTCCCTGGGACACAGGCTGGCGGATGCGATCCCAGGTGGATCTTCTGTGTCCCCCCGGGGCCGAATGTGCCAGGGCGGAGGAGCATCCCGCAGGGCTGCCGGAGGTGTTTCACCCCACACAGCTCGCTCAGATGTATCTCCCAGGTCTCCCAGCGTGGATCTGGCTGCCGTGGGGGAGATGCGTGACCCCCGTCCCCCGTTCCTTCCCACCACCGCCTCTCGGAGACCTCCAGAAGCAGGAGCACGGAGAGGAGGGCTCTTGGGGCACCCCCGCATCAGGGTCCTCTCTCTCATTCCCACAAGGCAGCAACACATCCGTCTTTTATCCCAGCTTTCTTTACCTCAGCAGCAGACACTTGAATTTACATCCCCACCCTGATAACTGAGTCACCTGGGTCCCAGAGCAACAAGGCACTTTCACGGCATTAGTTAGGACCCATGAAAGCCAGGGGAACTCGAGAACATGCTCGAGCCCTTGGCCGAACACGGCTCCTTGGCTGACTCAAGGTCTCAGAGAGTCCCTTTGGAATGAGTGGAAAAACTCAAGTAGGGTGAGCCGAAGCTCGCTAGGGCTTGGAGCTAACTAAAGGCAAGCTAGCCAGAGAGCCTCAGGAAAACATATTTGTAGAAATGTATACGGCTACGTTCCCACTTCCGAGTGCAAATATTAAAAAGGCGACTGTACAGTCTGCTCTTAACCTACAACCATGACATAAATATCACCAAAAGGTATCACCTTGCTGTGGACCGTCTCTGACCCCCCAGGCTCCCAGGCCCTCCACCCTCCCAACAACACGACATGTTTGCCCACAAAAAAAAAGGTTAAAAATGCCTCGACATACCGCTCCTGTACCATGCAGTATTTCATAGTCAATAACTAGCAAGCCCTTGGGTATGAAGGAAGGAAAGGCTCGCTTTACATATCAATGCTTAGAAATATCATATAATTCCACTAAAGGCAGTGGTTAATTGTCGGGTGCCAGTTAGAATGACTGCATCTGCCGTCTCTCAAAGAAGCCGGAACGCTGTCACTCACTTTGAAATGGCTTGCTGCATTCATCAGTCTGGATGGCACGGAGAAGTTATAACCGTACAAGCCATATGGAGGATGTAAAGAACAATTAAGTGCTTCCCGAGCAATGGGACTTGATGGGAAAATGTTTCCAGATGCATGTAATCCGTACAGCATTTGACTGGCAGAATTGGGTACTTGTAGACATTGCCCGTTTAAGTCTTCAGCTTTAGCATTTTTCAGACTGGTCATGCCGAGGGAAGATAGCTTTGGCATATCCACCATGAAGTGGGGTACGAGATGCGGGTTGGTGCCTCCCAGTTTTTCGTGGCTTGGAAGGATGAGAGACTGTTGTCTTAGGAAGCTCGTAGGACAAATCTTGTAGTAGAGGGGCAGGTTGAGGTTGTGTAGGTAGGTCTCGGGGCACGACACGCCGATGTTGCTCGCTGACAAGTGAAACGTAGGAGGCGAACACGATGGAGAGAGCAGGGGGTTGAGAGGAGAGGGCGTCCCGCCGCTGGAGGCCACCGGCGAAGAACTGGAGCTCCCACCTGAAAACGAAAAGAGAAACGGTCCAGGCTGGGCTAGCTGATGTTCACAGCCAAGGAGCCCTTGGAGGACTCCTGCTCCCGCTCCGCATCTCCCTGTTGCCGGTGTCCGTCCAAGCACAAACCTGCTCCAAAAATCGGCTCCTGGAAAATGGGAAGATCTGTCCATAAATTATTTGTTGTTGTCAAAGCACAATATTCGGCAGTCCCATTCGTTTGACCGGGACGCCTATGAAGCTCAGCTCCACACATACCTGCCGGGTCCCTGCCTCGCTGTATGACCGACACCTTCTCCTGTTATACATACACCCTTGCTATTTTAGGTTCCCTATTTTTTGTGCAATTACGGGCAGCTTTTTCTCCTTGTGCATAAGAACAAAAAAAAGTATTCAGCCTGGCGGGGAATTTTTTTGTACCTTCCTGCTCACAGGAATTGCCTAATTTTACTTGGCTTCCCATGCAATTTGAAACATATACTTGAATGCTATAGGTGTCTCCAGAAACTTTAAATGCACGTGTCATTTTAACATTCTACTTTCTGAAATGAATCAATGAACGCTTTCATAATTTGGTAGAAAAGCAACACGGGCTTGCTTCACACGTGTATAGCATCGCCGGTCAGCACCGGCTCGCCGCTCCTCCGCAGCAGCACGGAGAGCAAAAGCGGAGAGGCGTGGGAACGGGGCTGCGGAGCGGCCGGCCCGCTGCCGAACACATGCCGGTTTCATCTCACGCCATTTAAGAGCCGTACGTCTCCGCTGCACGTTCGTTACCACGTTCTTCTGGAGGTTCTCCCCCCCTCTTATTTTCATTCTTACCAAAGTCACTGGAAAAGGAAGGGAGGGAACGTGAATCCATTTTTGCTCTGTGTTTTTCTCTGTTTACGTTTAATTCCAAGTGATTTACTGTCTGGATGTGATCTGGTCAGACTCGAGTGCAATCAGCAACCCAGCATCACCTGGATAACCAAGCTACTGTAACAAACCTTAAAAAAACCACACAGATTTTGGACGTGGTGCAAATTAATTTTGCAAGCTCCCAGCAAAGAGAGTATCTGCAGGTTGGGTAACGCGCAGGCGGCACCCGTTGGCGATAATCCGGGGATGTTTTACGGCTCGGAGGTCTCGCCCTTCCCCGCTGATGTCAGCGCCTGCTTCAGCACCGCCATCGGCAGGAGCGGACGAGGGCAGGATGCGGTCCTCTCCCGAGGGCCCGGTCCTGACGCCCGCCCCGGACTCGGGGACTGTTGGTCATGCAAAGGGGTGCGATTGAGCCGATATTTGGGGGTGCGAGGCAGCGGACGAAGGCCGATGCAGCCGGCTGTGGCAGAGCAAACGAGCGTTAGTATTTCCTTCGCGGGATCCCAAGGAATAATAGCACACGGGTTTGGGAACGGGGAGCACAGCGGGGAGGACAGGGCAGCTCAAAGAGCAGATTCTTTCTGCCGTTTCTGTTAGGCTTAAAAATCCCAAGTTTATGGCCAATTCTTTCTTCAACCTATTTTTCATGCTTTCTTTTAATTTAGCTTCTGGTTTTAGGGCTTCACTATTTCTATTTCTCAGCTTTTCTACAGCAGTACAGTTATTACTATTAGTGGAAATGGAGATTTTGTTATATTTACATCAGTCTGGGACATGAACCCTGAAGACAAATACCAATTACATTAAGACTAGTAAAAGAATCCCAGGAAGCCCCAAGATTTTAGCATCCGTACAAGAATCACTGCAATTGCTGGTCTCATTCCCCACCACAGCCCATCCAGCTCCTCCTCGGTGCCACATCGCAGCCTGCAAAACGGGTTCAAAAGGGGCTTTTTGCACAAGGTCTTTTCTAAATTAAAACAAACAAACAAACAAAAAAAGCAGTTCTCTTTACAACCCGGTAAACCTCTTAATTTCTTCAAGCAGGAATTGTTGCTGGTTTTTGCAGTGTTTCCCTGCAGAGAGAGGAATGATTTGGCGTGCCCCAATACTCTGAAGGGTTCCTAACAGAAACGAGAGTTAAACCGGCGACTTTAGCCCCAAACTGGAGCGCTCCAGCGTGCAAATGCTCGGTTAGCTTTTTCCTTCGGCGCTATGAAGAATCAGTTTGCAAACACCGGTTCCAAAAGCTGTTTTTCTGGAAAAGGGCTGTAAGAGCCCGATGTCCGCCCGTTTTCCCTGAAAAACTTTTCCCTCTTCCCTGCATTTCTGAGGAGTTAACGGACGGCGGGACTGCTGCATCCTAAATAAGAGATAATTTTTTTCTCTGTTTCATAAGGCATTCGTTCGCCCAGAAGAGGCAGGCTGCAGAAGCCTGATCGTTATTATCACGTTTCTAGCTAATATTCTCAAACGGGTTGGAAACAATTAGGGTAACAGGACCGAAACCACAACAGCCCGCCTCTGATCAGCCCCCTGCATGCCCGGAGAAGTTTTTTCCGTGCCCCTGACCCCGCCGGCAGCTCGGCAGCCGGCCCCTCCCGGGGCGAGCTCTGCTCCTCACATCGACTTTAACAGGAGTTTTTTTGCCGAAAACACCTGGAATTGCCTTCCCAAAACGTTACTTTGGCCGGCGGTTCGCTTTCTGGACCCACCTCCTTACCTTAAGGGGTTAAGACCCCCGCGGAGCCCCCCGGGGGTGCGGCCGCGGCGCAGCCCCGAGGCCGCGGGGAGAGGCGGCGGCGGGCGGGGGAAGGCAGCGAAGGGGACTGACTTACCCTGGCTGCCTGCGCCGAAAGCCTTGAAGTCCAGGGCGAGG